CCACTTCGAATTATTTTATTCGATTAAGCTAACGTGCCTATCACGTTGAGGTTGGCTACGCCGGGATTCGTTTTCAGCAAGTAGATATCCACACAAGTGGACCTTGTTGGAGCATACGTAATCCTAAAATGTAGCATCGTGCTACAGATGGCGTTTACTGCGCCATTTGTAGTATTTTCTAAAATAAAATAGGTTGAATAACGATAAGCAAATCTATCTATATAAACCAAATATACAATATTAAACACATCCATTGTACACAGGCTCACATATTTATTAAATTGTCGCGGGGCTACGGATACTCAATCTTAAAGTCATTTTTTATGATCTTGTTCAGTTCCACCTTGGATGCCGTTTTTATCTCCTCAATCGTGGCATAGCGTTGTCCTTTCATATTATATTAGTGTGTTGTTTTTGGCAAAAAATTAACGCACAAGCAATGATGTGTAAGAAGGGGCGTAATCATGGGGCAGAAGTCAATTTTTGTTCTTCTACAAATCTGAGTGTTTCTGGCGGATTACTTCGCGCAGATTGCGCATATATTGACCATTCTACACTAAGAAAACTGTAAGCAAAACCTTTACATTCGACCTAACTTGTCGCGATTTTATCAGTCTTGTCTATTGCGGCAGATTCCATTGGGATGATTGAGCTTTGGTTTCCACGTCATAACCATATACCCACTATTCGCAACCAGTTATGACCTGGAGCAAATTAGGGTAGAACAGCTCCTTAGCAATGCTAATGCGATGCTGTTTTTGGTCGAAATTGAGCAATTTTGCTACAAATTTCGCGACAACACGCTTCATAAACAAATTATTGGTAAAAATCGAATGAGAGAAGCCAAATTATATGTTTAGATCCTCAGCAACTTATCTAACGGTGATTCGACGATTGGCCAATACTATTTTCTTCACTTCATCAATGTTTTTGTCTATTGTTGACGTGCTAGGGCGGCAAGCTTTTCGTCGTTGATATCTTCTCGGCCCTCTGAGAACATTGTGTACCACCAATAAACGTTGCTTCATTCCAAGGTAGCTTCACCACATGTCAAAGTGAACATTCGGAATGCGTCCGCGCACTTAATTTTATTTTTCACACAAAATTTGATACATAATATTTGATCCATTTTTTGGAATAGGCAAAAATCGAAGACGAGCCAAAACACGTGCAAGCAATGCAGCTGTCTCAAGATGGCCAAACTTGTCGGTATAACTGAGAGACATGAGTACCAACATAACGCCACAAAAAAAATCTAAAATCGAATATACGTAATCCGCGGAAATTCAAAATTCGCGATACTTTTTTAACATACCTCGTAGGTAACAGCAATATACAGAAGAAACACGTACTTTTAAAAATTCGCAAAATAAGTAACTTAACTAAACATAACGTAACGGTCACTCACTTCACTGGTGTTGTATTTTTCTACCCGTAACCCTCGGTTAAAGTTCGGTTACATTAGGTTAGGATAATACGGTTCCAGTAGGAAAAGATAAACCTAACGAAGTAATTTTTTCTCAAAAATATCCAAGTCATATGTTGTATTTTCTCTTGAAAATTATCTATTTTTTTTGTACTAAAATGTATCACACCCAAATAAAAAATAAAGAAAAAAAGAAGAAACCACGAGTTAGTTAAAAAAAATATATGAATTAACAGTTTTAATTTATTCATACATCCTATTTCTATGTCTGAATAACAAGGTATTTAAATACAATAACTTTTTTCGTATTCTTCACTTCATATTATATCGAATAATATTAATAATAATGTATTCAGGTTAAACTACAGTATATTTAAAAAAAAAACAAAAACGCTTTTTATTGAAATACCTACCTACTTAAAATACGTAAAAACCAGCTTTATATAATCTTTTGCGTAGAAAAACGTAAATATTATAGAACAGATGGTACTTTCTTTTTAAATGACAGATTTATTGAATTTATTCTAGGTCGCTACTAAAACTGAAAAATAAGAATATTTTTATTTTATTCGATTATAAACAAGGTCGACGTGTTAATAATAACAACAGAATCAATTTTTTGAGCAAAAATTAAATTAAGCGAAACAAATAAGAATCAGGTATTCAGAAGAAAAACGCTAGTTAAATAATAATTCATGTTGCTTCATTCTGCCTTAATTTACATCTAATCAATTAAACTGTTATAAATCTATCTATCTATCTCTTGTATTATGTACTTTATAGAAAACTAAATGTGTAGGTACATGTACATGTTTTTTAAAAGTTTCTTGTTTCTTTTACATAAATTCTTCTAGTTCAATAAATAAATTTTTAAACAATATGGATATTTTGCAGAAAATTTTATAAATATAGATACTACGATTATTTTTAGGATGCCAAAACTTTTCGTACCGACTGAGAAAGCCAATTATGAAATTTTGCTAAAAATAGACCAGTAAATAAACGCACATCGTAAAATAAATGTATTTTTTTCTTTTTTTATGGTTCCTTTTGTTCATTTGACATCAGAACTAATTTAAAGTGTAATATTATATTTGATTTTATTGACCCAATAGCATAGTTGGTCTCAACTGATATTCCGAAATTAAAATTATTCATTTTACCGATTATAAAATTGGTATGCCTATTTTGAAAATATAATTTCATAAAGATATAAGTATAATGTTATTTACCTCCTCCAAAAAAAGGCTTTATATCTCAACAATCTTCATCATCTTCTCTTATTAACAGCAAGTAGTAGTATTTGCAAGGATCACCTAATGAAATTTAAATCGTGAACTAAGAATCTACTTTCGAGAATCGGCATCAAAAACGATGTGATTAATATGCGTGTGCATTTTGTTTCTCATCCTTGACACGTTTAAGAAATGTTTTACATTTACTATATAACACAGCATAAAAAAAAACGGAATTTTGATTTACTGTCATGTCAGTTATCGTAGCATTATGAATCATCAAGGTGACCAGCCATTAAATAGTAACCTCTATTTTCCTATACTGTACATTAAATTTGCATTAACAGCTCATTTTGCAATAAAATACGTGTTTGTAATTAATATTCTCATATAACATATCGTATAGATGTTGTAGATCTATGTTCTAATGTTGCTTTTTACTATTTACTTAAGTACCTACCAAGATAAATTAGGATTTTATGGATCATGTTCTAAAAGATATAAGAATTGATAACTTCAGTTGTGACCAGTACCTACATCGTCATTTACTGATATTTACTGTTGACTAAACTATTTCACATGTTCGATAAGGGCCATACTTATTGTAAGGTATCTACTCGTTAAACCGACACGCTGCAGCTTATATTTCAATAAAGAACATTAAGTTCCTGGTCAGTAAGTTGAAACTACGAGACATAGATTATTTCGAACTTATAAAGCCGCTTCAGAGCTCACTATAGGAAGTTTCAATTAATTTCCGACCAAACCAAATCTACTCCGTAAAAGCAAGTTACGCCATCTACAGACATTTTATGCTAACGACACTTAATTCAAATGTTTGACAATGGGTAATAATGGACAAATTATGAAAATATGGATAACTTAATCAAGTGTAAAATCGATTGCTTTTCAGAATCAGTTCTCGATTATCATTTCATCTGTGATCACGCGAGATCTCCTATGTGTGTCAAACATGTGAATGATTCAACACGCAATTATGAAAAAATAAAAACTACAGAAGTATATATGTAATATTTTTAATCGACACCAGCGAGGGAATGCCGAACTTTTTCCCTTACTACGTAATATACTACTTCGCAAATTCTCGTATATACTTTATAAAATTGATTAAAAATTGAAATCACAATGGCAACTAGTAATAAACGTAATCAATGTTGTAATGTTCGTGGGTTTTACAAAATTAACTTCTAAGACTGATAACGACAAAAACTATTTATTTACACTAATTTTTAAGGAACTTAAAAACACTATTAAATTATTACTAAACTTAGGTTATGAATTATTCTATTTATTTACACTGCTGCTGATATATCACTATTCACTGCGCTATTTATTTCATTGCTAACACTGTCAATTTATTTCTGGATTCACTTCTGCAACGGTCAATTTATTTCTCATTATCTCGGCGATCATATCTTCCTTTATATAATCTTTTGTTTACTTTCTGGAACCTTCTGGAAACATCTGGATAGTTTATTTTTTCTTTGAACTATTTAACTGCTTTCCCAGAACGCAGGTACGACACACACATTTACAAATACGGCGCACGGGGCTAGTTGGCGAATTGATAAGCCGTTCACGCACACGTGTGCCCGATCGCACTTCAAACACACTCGTGCTCGCTACAATATTATACCACTATAAAAAAATCACGCCGTAATTAAGTAAGACCATTACTTGCGCTATAGACGGTGATAGGTAGGTATGTTACGTAAGTGTAAAATATTTTATGATAAAACTTCTAAAATGTTAATATCATTTTCATTTTTCCACCGCAAAATATTCTAAAATTGAATGCCTACTAAGTTTTAGTTCACCTTTTAGTAACTCATCATTTTTCGCACAATTTGCAATCCACTATACGAAAAATACAAAATTGAAGTAGCAAAAGCACAAACACCAACAGGTATTTGTTAACCTTCCGGAAGTAACAGTTTTTAAAAGAAGACTTTTACGTTTTCACTAATAACTTAATAATGTAATGGCAAACAAAAAGAGTTGGTACAAAATTGTAAAAAATGAAAGCTGAACTATAATGAAGAATATAAATTTTAAACTATTAAAAATGATACGACTTAAACGACCAAAAATTTGATGCCATATATACAAAATATCTAAATATTTAACAACTTATCCTAAGTTGGAAAGAATAATGGTGGTACAATTCCAAACACCTCAAAAGCGTATGCTTGTAATGAGAATAAGACTACGTAATAAGGTAATAAGTAAAGCCTGCTTAATGAAGAAACATATCAGAAAAAAAAGCCAAATGATGCAGAAAGCAGATGCAAAGCAGAAGATTGAAAAACACAAACCATATCAACAACAGAACCCAGCATCGTGATGCAACAGGTGCTCTATAGTTTCCGTAATCCAATGTAAACCGACGAGCGAATCAACCCAGATCTTAACCGTAACGATAATCGGAAGAACTCTTTACTTTCCCTTCAAAAACCGTTCACTTTTTTGCCAGAACTACAAAAACACGCACGCTACGTTTATTAACAGGAAAAGTTCCAACTGGCTTTGAATTATTTTTACTTTTAGTTTGTACGTGGCGCTGTCGCATCTTATTGACACAGTATGAGAAAATAGCTATGTATAAAAGCATCATCAAACATCCCCCACCAGTTTAATATGTAATGTTATTATTGTTTTTGCGTGTTAGACATACATAAGAGCGTTAATATAACGATGATGTCAAAACCAGCATCGCAAACTCACGTAAACGCATACATATGTGTATTTAAAACCCACCGGTATTCGCACCTTCACTTTTTTCTGTATCTTTTTCCCCTCGATCGCGTTTCGAACGTGGAAGGTTTAGAATTATTTGCATTCGGTGTCTACTTCGATAAAGCGATTACTAATATTAACTGATCAGACAGAGAGCATTACATCATTCATGCAAAAAAAGGTCGCAAACTAAATAGGTACACATATGCAGGGATAGCATTCATTATAAAGCGTAGGTGCAATAATATTTTAATGTCTTGACCTCATGTTCGCATTCTCTACAGAGAAACGTAGAAGTTCAAGTTCGCGGGCATTTTTCTCTAACGAAAACACATTACAACGTTGGCAAATGTTATGCAAACATTCCCAGTATATGCTGTGTAGTTATAAACTATTTGTATCCATCTTAGTAAGCCCAATGAGTGGGGTACCGTATGAAAGAAAAATCTCCAAATTCCTAAGAGACCATTTAAACATTCTTTTTAATAAATGAGAAAATTAGATCTTTTTATAAGAATGCAGGGTGCCACATTGTAATCAGTCAGACAGTTCAAACATTTTCTTTCAGGTGTAATATTAATTGTACTTAATAAACTTACACAAAAAAAAAACTTTTGGGTGTTTCATTCCCACCAGCCAGTAATGCTGGTGAGCGGGCAGTCTTTCCGGGCTACACCGGAAGGTAGGGCGGAAGGCTCTCTTCAGTCTCCTTTCAGGAATCGTGAGAATGAGTGGGTGGTGGTTCGAATGAGAAAGATGAAACGGATGAAATGAAAACAGAAGAGAATTAAAGATTATCTGTGGAATATTACTGCCCCAGCATTTGCCTAAGTGATCCATGGAAACCACAGAAAAACTTGGCCCACGGTAGACGGACCCGAATGCTACGCAATGGTCTAAACTTTTAGACCATGCCGCTCGGTGAAAAACACCAACTACAAACACTCAAACACCATAGAGTTCTTTATTTAGTTGTTTTTCAGTCTGGTGGCAAGTTGTAAGCTATCCAAATTATTAATATAGTAAAAATGGGATAAAACACCTCGCTGGTTAATACATTATTAGTGGGTCTGACAATAAATATACCCTGTATCACGTAAAATAGCGGCTCTAACAATAAAACTACCAAGTAGTGCCCCCCCCCTTGTTGACGCCTAACTGGAATTACAACATTATGCCATTTCTCAAACGAAACACGTTTTGTATTCTGTTAACCACTTGTGCCTTTAAAGATCAAAATAGCTTGGAAACTTTTATAAGAGTGTTTTCAAATATTGGAATACCAATATTCTCTTTTATCGAAACCTAAACAGAAGGTTCTATAACAAATTTCGAATCTCAGCTGCACAGACAGACTCAGTAAGGACTATCACCTCCGAATATTGCCACTCAATAATGTTCAGACCGTCCTCTTCTTTGATGCAAGTGTTGGTCATTCGATAAAGTAAACTTATAAATCATTTGAAAGTTCTTTTGCTTCAGTCGCCACTATACGTGATACGAAGTTTTTTTCACTCAGTATGATACGATTCCACCTCCGCCGTTAACAATACCTCCAGATAAAATCATAAAGATGGTACTATTCCGCCCAACTGCAAACAGAAGCATCAAAGGATGTGCAGTTTACAACAGCCACCATTGTTAAAGTTGGCTCCGTAAAATAACTAACTTTCGCAGTGCTGCCAACTTTCTTTTTTGACGGATATGTTAAAGATCATAATCTTGCGGTCTAAGAAAAACAAAGTGAGAGTTGTCGTCGTTGTCCTTTCTTTCGGCAATTGAGTTACTTTACTTTACAATCGAACATAATAAACTGCTACGAAATTCTTAGGTGCGGATTCTTACTCCATCATCATAATCGTAAGGTCACCATAAACCAGAAACTGGTTCGGTACATACCCCCATCTCTCCCTACCTTAAGTCAATCTTCCCATTTCTCGTAAACTAGCATAACTTCTAACGTAATTATTTTCGTATAACAATCCAATTAGGCCTTCCTCTATCTTTCTTAACTCCTGTTTGTACTTCTAATATGCCTCATACTAGCCGTTTATGTCTGTGAAAGTGTCCTACCCAACTATCCCGCTTTTTCTATCCACGGTATCTTTAACATCTTTCTATAACGCGGACCCAATGCTATTCTGTGTTTTATTACTCTAGTGCTGTTTTGTGATATATTTAACTACCTAAATATCGAAAATCGGCGATTTGAAAGTTCACGATTCGGATTACTGATACCTCTATTACGAATTCCATATCGTCTGAATGTTTGGGTTAGTAATTCGAGAGAGCATGGTAACATTCTATTCAGATTATCCAGATAAGTAATAACACCTCACATAATATAATATCCAATAATAGACGTTTTTAATATGCGCAGATCTGGTTTGAGGAGGAACCAATATAATTAATAAATAATTAATAATAATAATGATAATAATAAATCATCATCCTCATCATAGGGTTGTCAATCCTAAGACTGGTTGGACACGAACCTCTAATCATTCCTATTCTGAGGTAATCTTCGCATTTTCTTAAAAGTGAAACAGCCATTTGTGAAGAGTAATCTAATCCAGGTCTACCTCTACTCCACTTAACTAATGTTTCTGCCTCTAGTAGATCTCTAATTAGCCCTTCATGCCTAAAAAGGTGTCCTACCAACCTATCTCGCCTATTTCTTATTGACTTCAGCGCCCTCTATTCTCCTACCTTTTCTAATACCTCCTCATTTCCAGATAATAACATATAAAAAAGATTAGTTTTATGAGATTCAATAATGCACTGCCATTACAACATTTTACATAAAACTTGCAATTAGATTATTTTAAAATCAAAATATTTCAAAAATAAAATAATGGAAAAAGATATATTCTAACTCATAAATCTTTAATGGCTTAAGGTACATTGAAAAATAGATAATAAGGAACAGTTATTATCTTTTAATAAAAGTTCTTTTGATATAAGTTTAAATAATAAGTATGTTGCAGCAAAAAATATTTCATCATCTTTTAATCACATATCTAATACTTCCATGTAGGTACATATAAAGGAGCTTGTCTTAGCACAAGTAATTGAGTCGATTTGGTTGAAATTTTGAGAGCATGTTTGCAAAAAACGCATTCTAAAAGATTGAAACAGATCAAAGCATCTCCTACATATCCAAAATACGACCGAGGTAGTAATAAGTACATAAGTAAACGTCAAATAAATTAACGTTATTTTTCCAATGATAATTAAATCATTTTTGTAGTCATTAGAAATATGAGGTTTTCTTAAAAGATTGATTGAATAATTTTCCGTCTGATTTTATAGGTATTGGCTAATCTTCGAAATGGCTAAACCAATTTTAATAAGACTTTATAAACATAAAAACGATGTTATTATGAGTATTCTAGGCTAATTTTTTAAATTATTTATTAGAAATAACTCTATTTATTATAAACAATTAAAAAAATGTCACGTGGCCAAAAGCTACTAAATCAATATGAATACAAGAATTTTTATATTTCAATAACTTTGGCACTGGTACAAAAATTACAGTAGCAAGTAGGTACCGTGTATGTGTTAACAGATTACGAGTGTATTAATGAAAATTTAACTTTATGTAATATATGGCAACAATGTAAAATAAAATCGGTCATCCTAGATTATTAAATGGTATTATTATTAAGTAGTTAATAGAACGTGACTTAACGATGACTAGATGACATACTTTAAATCGAATTTAAATCAAACAGGAAATTAATACTTTCCTATTCACTTACAAGAACACAAGACTTTTTTATTGCACATGAAATGAAAACTAAACAATTTATTACTGGATAACAAATAATTAACCATTTTAGAAGCATTATAAATAACATAGTCTTCTCTTTTGTATATAAAAAATAATGAAACATACCTATGGGTATGTTCATTTTACTACATACCAGAAATAAATAAAAAATGACTAAAAGGACCCATACATTCCAACACCTGTATTTTTTTTTAATTAGATCCAATGTTCTCTTATTTCAAAGTTAATAAATACACGGATATATAAAATCTTTACTTACATCTGCAATTGTCTTTCGAGTGGATCTTCTCCCTACTGATTTTCTTTCAATAACTTGCTTTCCTGATTTAGACATTTTGCACAATGTAATTCCAATAATGGAAGCTTAATTTAACTTTTTCTCATTTATTTAGTTAACGTTACGAATTAAAACAGACAAACGCATGTTAGCCTTTGTGGCTTATCTGTGCGATACAGTATCAAATTCAACACTAATGAAAAGCATACACACCTATGTTTTTCACAGTTATCATATCTTACAGATTAAGACAATCTGCTTGCTATGTATATGAGTCAAACCTCAGTGTAGTAATTAATTCCTTCAACAGTACAGGTGATAAGGTATCACAGTTCAGTGTAATAACTTTAGTGGAGGTAAACTTTTAACATTAGCAATGTACTCACGAATCCTGTTGACTTCATACGTTCCTGTTTTGACATTGCGGCAAAAACATTTGGTGAGCAAAAAATCAGGAATGTTCACGATTAGGAATCTGAAATTCATCAAAAATCACAGTGAACCACTAGTAAACTATACCAAAAAACAGTTAGAGGTTGAAAACATAACCTTACTTTCACTAACACACTTTTGTTTAACCAACTTTTAGTTATATTTTTTTCATTATAATAAACACTAGTAAAGAGAAACGATTGCGGAACTTACGATTTCAATATCACAGTTTTTGGTGCATTATTTTCCTTTATTAATGAAAATGTAGTTGTGACGGTAAAAACCACCTTAATTTTTGAATCACAAACTTGTTGATCGCTGGCATTTCAATGGCTCTGTTAA